CCACACCCGAATAGGTAGGGGATCATAAGCCTAAGGCCCCGGAATCTAAACCCAGAACCCGAGTTTTGAGCCCTACGAACCATCAGATCAAGACGACTAGGCCCTAGGCAGTCCGAGCCTTTTGCCTTGTCAGGTGTCGTCCCCTGCTGGCGGTTTCCGAGTGTTCGGCACTGAGACGTCTTCGGCTTCTTCGGAGATTGAAGGCCCCCTACACCTTAGAGAGTAAATCCCAAGCCTCTCGAACACTCTCAACCCTGAGCCTTAGTCTTGAGGCTGCGGGATTCCTATATTACAGCCGAGAGTTGCTGGCAGTGAGCTATTGTACTCAGTGCTCTGACGACGAGGACCTCCAATGAACATTCAGGGATCCAGCGTCGGGTGTGGCGGAGCTTCTGTTGGTGGGTTTAGGGTGATGGGGTTTTAGGGTTTAGGGGTGTCAGTATATGCTTCAAGTGAGTGCATTTGCCGGGCGGTTTTCACGATAGGCTGGCAAAGACGAGCTCGGTACCTTTGTTGCAGTGAAAGGCCCCCCCCCCTACAGCACTTTGACCGGAAGCTTAGCAAAGCCGTGCAACATCCGAAGCCTTACGCCGCCCCACGACAGATCCGCTACAACCGAAACCCAGCAGCCTCCCTTGTAGTATGGTACCCTAGTATACTCATAACAAGAAGAAAATCGCAATAGTATCAACAACACTACTGATAACGATAAGACTAAAAATAAGATCAACCAGACCTAGCCGTATCTTCCATTGCACTTGAGGTCACTCCGTTTCCTACGCCGTGCAGAGCCGGCAAAAGCCGTGTCGCAGCTGCTGCAGGACAGATCTCATTCCCTAACTCCTAAACTACTTATATTTTAATATAGACACACATTTTGTCTGTATGTATAAAATCTTAAATTACTAAGCCCTATAAACCCTGAACCCAAGAAACCCTAAACCCCAAGGCTGGGGGGGGGGTGTAGTGTCTGCGGGTGTGTGGCCGGGGTTTCTGGACAATCTGCTTCGCTTGCTGTCGTGCTGATCGTTAACACTTGATTTTCGAAGCAGTCTTTGTCGTCGGATTGGACAGTCAGAGACATGACTCCGCAAGCTGAACACCAACGCTTCCAAGCTGAGCTGTAGCACGAAGAGCCCGCAAGTCGTGCAGAGAGCAGGATACCACGCAGCTCCTCTACAAGTGGAGTGCGGAGGAAGAAAAAGGGGTGCCGATTCAAGAATGATGCCTTGCCTTGGATGTCGGGCCCCGTCTGGCTTGGGGTTTCGCACCGGTCTCTGCTTGTTTACGTGCAAAGAAGTGCAGAGCCTGTTGAGTGCTTCAGCCTGACTTTCATGCTCAGGCCATGACGAAAGCTTTGAAGCAGGCCGACAGCGCCAGGGGATTTCCGTCCAAGAGCTTTGCTACGGGTGTGGGTCTTCAGGGCTTCGCATGGCAAAGGCCAAGCTTGGAGGACCCGAAGCATGCAAGATGGGGGCCGTAATAATTAGACAAGGGTTTTGGAGTATATTATATTATACTATCACCATGATAAAGAACCCCCTGTAGTAACCTTGTTTTCGACTCTAGCTCTGTTCTCTTCCTTGCTCTTCTGTTCCGTGCAACGCTATTCAGACTCTGACTGAAAGATTGGCTGTGCATATCCATGTAGGAGATCAGTAGATCAATAGGTCGGTGCCTGTGCAGGTACGATTGTCCGTGTGTTTGCCTACTGTTGTATACATAGATGCCACAGTTATATACACATAACCGTGGTGAGTATGGTAGAACCGTTGTGTGAGTGTGTCGGCATATGAGCATCTATCTACCTACATACATATATAAATATACACATAACATACGCACATATATATATACACACATACATACATACACACATACATACACACACACACACGCGTACTTAAATAAGTATGCACGAATAAATGGTTACATAAATGAGTACATATATATACACACATATATATATATATGTATATATATATACATATATATATATGTATAGATATACACATGTATGTATGTGTGTGTACATGTATATATATATATACACATACATGCGTTCACTTGCATACCACAAGACGCACAACGGTCTGTCTCGTCACATCTCATGTCTATCCCCCCCCCATGTATAGTCTATTTTGCAGACTTTGCCCCGTCAAAGTTCGGGGAATGTCACGAGGTTTAGGAGAGGGATAATATGCAGGGTTCAGGGTTTATGGCCGTGAGGGTTTAGGGTCTAAGGCCGTTTAGGGTTTTGGGATTTATGACAGGTAGAGGCAGAGTTCTACGACACCTTGCTTCGCCAGCGGGAGCCGAGCCGCCACGTCCTGCGGGGGATGCAAGGGCTGCTGGGGGTTCGGCTTTAGGGTTTAGGGTTTAGGGTTTAGGGAATGGGGCTTTCGGAGGCAGAACTTGTAAATGATCCACGTCAGGATGTGGGCTTGGGCGTACCAGACCGAAATCTTGGTCAACAGAGATGTGCGTGCAGCCAGGCTTCAACGCAAGCAGGAGAACTCCAAGCGCAGGGCTCAGCACTTCCGTGCCATCGAAAATCCTTCTAGCCTTGGCTTTCCTGACATTTAAAAGTGTGCTCTTGAACCCTATAGTACCCGTATAGATCCCTTCTAGATCCCTTATAGAACCCTTATAGTAACCCCTAGGTGCCATGGCTGTGCGCTGAAGCACACGCACTACGAGCAGCTGGGGGCGCGGAGGTCATTGGCAGCAGACATCGAGGAAGCAAAGGGTGCGGCAGGTAATGCCAACTGTAAACATGGATGCTGGAATGGAAGCTAAGTAAAGTAAGCACATTTGTACATGCGTGTGTGTGTGTGTGTCTATGTCCTTGTGTATATGCATGTTTGCAAACGTAAGCTTACATGTGTAGTTGTAGTTGTGTATGTATACGGTTAGGAAACATGCCACATTGACCTGCTGCGCCTGGGGTGTGCCAGCTGTCGTCTCTTCTCTGTGCAAGCCACCATCTCGACCCAGCATTACAGTAACTTGATGACATAGCCCCAAAGTCTCAGGATTTGCAGCGGAAGCCCTAAACCCTGCTTTGATTTCCAGAGCCCCTTACAGTCTGTGGAGACAGCCCTGGCCCGCACCTAGCTACAAACGTGGCCCAGGTCATGTCATCCCTAAGCCTGGAAACCCTTAAACTTTGGTAAACCCTCAGCCTCAGCTGTAAACCCTCAACAGCCCAAACCCTAACCACTTTAAAAGCAAAAAGCAAGAAGTCGAAGGACCTGGACCGTGAACTGGGCGCAGAATCCCTGGGCCTCCTGCCACAGCTGCGGGCCAAGGAACAGGCGAGGCCCAAAAGTGAGCCACGATTTAGGGGTTCGGTTGTAGGGGTTTAAGGTTTCGGCTTATCTTCGGAATCCTTTCCGAGCTGCCGCAACATAGTAACCCTCCATAACTAACGCTTATGGTAATTGGTAGCCCTTATAGTAGACCGTCTAGTGGTCGGTTGAGTGCCGGTTGCAAGACCCTGGTAATACCCTAATAAAGATTCCTGCTCACCACCAGGCCTCATGATGATTGTGCTTACAACCAGTGTTCTTGTTGCAGGATCCGATCGTGCCCGACTTTTAATGTGCATCATTGTTCCAGACTGCTGTAAACATGATAGTCAATCTGTTTGCTTCGTCCTCATCGTTGCAGAGATCATCGCCATTCCTACATTGTGGTAGTGGAGGGCTGGTGAAATGCACCACATTCACGGCTCCTTCCGGTTCATGTAGCCATGGTGTGCGCATCCTTTATGGCAGGTGTTGCGGGATCTCCAATGCCTGGATGAAGACGGCCTCATTTCTTTCAAAGGACAGAGAAGGAGTTGCCAACATGCGGAGGCCTGAAGGCAATGAGAACATCATGACAATTAATAGTCAAAAGTGTGTAAATAGCAATCATAACAGTCATAACAATAATAGAACTAGTAAGCCAGTAAATGGCAAATTCTACTAGTCATCGTCATAGCCAGAGTCAGGCACAGCAACAGCAATAGCCATAGTCATAGCAACGGCAATGGCAGCAGCAACAGGAATAGCAATAGGAAGTGGAATAGGAGTAGCAGTAAGAATAACCATCTTCAGAAGTACAATAAGCATGAAGTAGTTAAGAGCAGTTCTCTAAGACCCACGGACATGTGTGGATTTTCGCCCAAGCCTTTTTGCAGGACAGGCTGCAACAGAGGTGCTCTCAGGCGATGAGATCACGGTTGCGGAGGCTTGCTCTTTTCAGCATTATTGTTGTATGATATTTGATGTTGTTTCATTACCTGCTATTGCTACTATTTTAATTTTCATTGTTACTATTATTGCTACTCTGATACACTTACTATCATTGCTACTAATTGCAGTTCTTGGCCAGTGGATTTGGGCCGATGTTTTCGTCGCGGTTGCACGTATCTGCTCTGATTAAGCTAGGCTTGAATACAGAATCAGTTACACTGTTATATTAAAGTATACCCCGAAACTCTGTGATGGCAGGTGGTGTTCCACAACATTCTGGAAGGCCACACGCCGGAAGAAGTGGCAGCGGCCGTCACGGCCTTTGTCTTCCCGGACAAGGTGGAGATGCCCGAGGACCCCGCCCAGTGACTAAGACTCAGGCTCCGAAAAATCACCTCAGAAGAAGTCCCCTGCCCCACCCTCTCTGCCTGGTTTTATCGGCTTCCTTCTGCACCGCTCATGGGTTCGCGCGGCACGTCGCCGCAGGATGCAAAGATGGAGGAGCTGCCGGAGAGCCTGGCTACGGTTCGGCAGGCTGGGAAGTCAGGGAAAGGCTTAGCCGCTTAGCCTCAGCGGCTACAGGTTTCGGTTTATCGTGCTCGGGCGAGCTTTCGGGAATCTCTAAACCATGCCACCAGTGTCCAGGAAACTGTGCGCAAGGAGACTGTAGGCTTTGGTTGATCGCTGACTCTTCTCCACATTACCTCTACACAGAGCCTGGAGCTTGTTGCCGGGAATCTCGAGCTATCGAAGCGCACCATAGCCTCGTGAATAGAAGCTTACGGTTGATTGGGCGTCCTCTCACTCTGTATCGCCCTGTGTTTGCTAGTGAGTGGCAGCATATATATATATATATATACATATGTATCAACACGGTATCTTCCTTAGTAGTCCAGGGCTTGTGCGAAGCCATGGGCGGTGCACAGACCACGCTCTGCTGTTGCTGGGAGCGCCAGAAGCTCCCAGCAAATTTCCCGCCTGAAGTGCATCAAGCACCTCCGCAGTCACCCCCCGCCAACGAGCCCTCTGACAGACGGGGTCAGGCCGAGAAAGAATACGAGGAAGTAGAATGGGAGATCTTTACTTGCAAGTGAAGATCTCCATTCTACTTCCTCGTCTTCTTTCTCTGCAGCACCTTTGCGCGAACCGACACCTTTGACAAAGAGAAGCCTTTGGCGCAGTGTGCCGAGGAGCCTCAAGCTCTGCAGAGAGCAAGCCCCATTGGTGGCGTTGGCCGGCAACATGGAGGAGAATGCTGCGGAGCAGCCCAACCAGGTTCCCGCACTGCACTTGCTCGACCACCCATTCGAGCCGTTTCTCACCTATGAAATGGTGTCGGCAGACCGGCAGTGGATGAGAGCCGTGGTGGGATTGATGAGGTGGAGGGATGTCCCTGCCAGGCCTCATGCCTGTGCAAAGACGTGCACCGAGTGCTGCCAGCTCCACAACGCCAGTTGGCGCGTGGCAGCCTGCGATGCTCAAAGAGTTCCTGGCCAGCTATGCCCCTGCAGAAATCCAGACATCCTGCCTCCGTTGCCCGAGATGCCCGAGTCTCCGAGTAGCCTCGAGGGTCGGGCTTCAAATTGAATCGAGACGCAGCCAAGGAGCGTGCCCATGCCCATGGGGCTTGGGAGAAGAGTGCGGCAGACTTCCACAGAGTGCTACATTTCAAGCCCCCTGCTGTGATACGTTTTGCTGACCGATGCCCGATAAAAGGGCGATATGGGCTCTGATGGCACGACGTCGCATGAATATTTTGCGGACTGTAAG